CCTCGCCCGATAAAGGGTTAAGTACAGAGCTGGCATCAGGGCATTGTTAGCCTAGCTTAGCATTTAGACTGGAGGCAGGGGAAACAGCTAGCCTGATAAGCTAGGCTGTCCTGACTCCAACTCCCCAGAACATTTTCTTGTTCCTTTAAAAAGCTTTATTATGTTCGTTAATATTTTATTCATATCATAAATCATGATTTAACTATTAGTATTATAGTCTTTACCATAACATTAGCACTCTTTCATTATGATACTCAACTAACTACGGTTATCAAGAACAGAGCTGGCCTCTTGTATAATTCAATCATAACTTTGTCTTAAAATATAGTATAGTGAAGTATAATATTAAGGTGGGGTCTATTACATGATCTCAAGGCCCTTTGTTTAGACTTGAAACCTTAATTTTTAAAGTTCTTTCTCACATATTTAGCTAAATATGCATTTATGATCAAAAATTAATGTGTTTAATTAAATCCAAGAATGCTTTTCATTAATATGCAAAAGGGGGACCTTGGGGGCCTATTTTTGCCCCAGGCACCCTATCGGACTAAGCCGGCCATGACAGCTGTTACTCTGAACCATGATTACACCACAGATTTAGTTTGACAGCATGGTTTGATATTAAACTCTGGTCATTACATTCCTATTCCTGAGGCTGCCCTAACTCACGGTTCATTTGAGAACCACAGAAAATAAAATTCTCTGGACCAAGAAAAGCAATACCAAATCTGACAAGATAGGGAACTAAGTATGTTGTTTAACACGTGTTTTATGATTAGCTTCAATTAATTTATGTGTAATAAGTGTGTAATGGAATGACGCGTCGTGTCAGATGTATTTAACTTCCATGTAACTGTACCTGTGCACCGCATCCATGTCTGTAACTGCGGGATACATCGCTCATGAACACAGGTGAAATTTGACTTGCAATGTTCCCAACCGGCCGTCCAGCGGAACGGGAGCAGCGGAAACACGAAACCAAATAATTCCTGGAGCGTGCTGTTTACATGAGAGCCGGGACCATGAAGAGTTGGTCCGCCAAAGCACGCTACTTATTTTCGTCGTTTCTTCCGTCGTTAAAGTACAAGGTGAGGTTGCCTCGCCATTGTCATATGTCGACTAAATAAACCGCCGTTTCATTTGCACAAACCGTCTGTTTAAGCTCTGTCCACACTGGCAAATTCACTCTGGATTTTTCTTCTGGCACTTCGCCTCTCGGCTTCCGTTCCTATCTCCATCGCATCCGTTACATCAAACTTCCGGTCTGTTACATGGGTTGTATTCAATGGGGCAAATCTTTTTCAGTTTGTTTTATATTAAGTAGTGTTTTTTTTTTAAAGCGCAGACTGTTTGTTTCTGTTAAATATAACGTTAGTTATTGTTGTTTTTATCTTCGTCTATGTACGCTTCAGGCACACCACGAACAGACACACTGATGATAGCAAGTGTTCTAAAGCTACCAGGGTTTGCGAACATCCGCTCAAACATTACATGTTCCGGTTCCGTTCTGCGAAATATTAAACTGTTTTGCTCTCATACTTAATGCACACTTTGCATATGTGACCGTATGTAGTGTTAACGTTAGATGACTCTCTCTCTATATATACATATTTCAAGCAACGAGGCGGCATCAATGTCCGAACACTTTATCTCAAACCATGGTTGTTTTTCACTATGCTAACCTGAGTCCTCGTTTCCCTCTCTCGCTTCTTAGCTCCCCCCAGAGCAGGTGAGGACGCGAGCAGGTGAGACGCGAGGACGGAGGAGCCCAAACTGTCCAATGACAACTCCCTCTACCACAGCGTCAGAGAGCGACGTCAGGTACCTATGACGTACGGCAGCTGTATCACCTGTCCGACTGATACAGACTACTAATGTCCAACAATTTCAAAAGCTTACAGTATTCATTCAGATACGTAAATTGTTTGACATTGCCCATTTTAGCAGCATTATTACTGTTGTTGATGACTTAATATTCGTCTTAAATAGACATATTCTAATGTACAGATCGAATAGCAAACATGTACAGTGGTGCATATGATTATGTGTGATGTGAAAGGTGTCACTTGCAGTGAAAACATACCCAGAGAAATCACCAAATGTGCTGTTTTTGAGGGTCTTTCAGCTCATTGTTTTGGTTTTACATTCCACAACTTTACAGTTTTGGTTTAGATTCCTCTCATCATCTTTGTCAATCCTCTGTACACTACCTGCCCTGTCCCAAACAGCCCAGAGACACAGTTAGAGACTAGCTGATGAGATAAAGAGGAGCGGATTAAGATCCAGATACCCCTCAAGAGTGGAGACAAATATGACATCCAATAAATGTTTTTCCATGTCTGCTGGATGTGCAAATTAGCAACAGCGTGCAAATTAGCCATAAGGGATGTTTGACTTTCTGTTGAGTTTCGTTCGGAAGTAAAAATGACTCACTCATTAACTGACTCATACTGATAGATTGCTTCCTTACAATGAAATTCTTGTAGGTCCGCTTGCTTCACAAGAGACATTTGAAACTTCAATGTCATTAACTGTCTAATAACACATTATTTCCATAAAATATTCTGCATACATTTAATCACATTTAATCATCAGCTGTAATATTTCAATATACATTTATTTACTGGCTATAAGAAATAAGATCCTATTGCTTTAATTGAACATTCCTAAGTCCCGCCCCATTTTGCTCTGTGCTCCAATAACAGTTGAGCAAACCTCTGTCAGAACCTCAGTCAGTTTTCCCCTTTCCTGTACTGAGATATGCTATGTGCTGGGCTAATCTATGTTGAAAAGACAACCACATTTTGAAGATGGTTAAAAGATAAAAGTGACAGTATGTATAGTCACATCTTAAGTTAGCTAGTTACATATGAAAGCTAATGTTGGGAAAAATGCTTGCTAACTACTTAGCTAATTTACATTAATAGTTAGTTAGCTACTTAGTTAACATTTTGATAACATTAGCTTAACTTTTATAAAGTTTATAACTAACAATATTGTATAATAACATAAAAATAAGAATTGTTTTGTTATCTTAGATAAGTCTTTTATATCTGCAGGCGCCACGGGTCGCCTTCCATGGAGTCCGCCATTTTGAACCGTCATGTTTCTACAGTAGCTCAGAGAGGTTCTGACTGAGGCCTGCTCAACTGTTACTGGAGCACAGAGCAAATAGGGGCGGGACTTTGGAGGAGTCAACTGTTGTCTCACATACATTGTGGTTCACCAGTATGTTAGAATAGCAATTGGTATGTTTAAAACAAACATCTAGCAGAGTTGATATATTAGCTGAATAAACTGGAATGAACAGGATGTAAAAATACATGGTCTTCAAAAGGTCTGGCTCAAAGGTTCCGTGTGCATGTAGAAGGCACATCTTGACATGTTAATGTATTAGTATGTATGATGAGGGAGGGACAGTGCCTCAGTCCAAGAAAAGGTGGGTTGTAATTCAATCCAGCGTTGTGAGTGCTTTCTGTGTGGAGGTTTTTAGGTTCTCCCTAAGTGGGAAATCTAAATCCTGGATCATTGTCGCCCGTAATTTGGACATTTCAGGCACGGAGTTGCTCATAAAATACAATTAAGGAAGAATGTTAACAATACAACCACGGAAAGGTAGGATATCTTCTCACTTATAGGGAGGAAAATCAGGTGGATAAAGTATAAAAAGCCTTAGCAAGAAAGGTATCTTACATTAATGTTGTACAGACTGCCACTAGTGGCCAAAAAATACCGGTATAGGAAGGCAACTACTGTTTTACACAGTAGTACTGCTGTAATATATTTTCACAACTAATTTTATGGGCCGCTCAGTGACTGTATGGCACAAGTAACTTCACAGCAAATCAGTGCAATTTTGCTTTAAAACCTGATTATTATGGTGTGATTTAGTAGACAGCCCCTCAAATCAGATTTAGTCCCATTATTACAACATTCATGTCAGAACACTCAGTCCTTGTTTGTCAGCAGATCATCCAGAATACGCTCACACATGTACAGGCAGCGAGGCACATGGAAGAACCCTGCAGAAGAGAAGAGAAACGCAGTTATCGGTGGAGTTTCCCCCTTTTATTAAGAGTCTTGGTTTCACACAGAGCTCAGACTTAACAGGACAACTACGAGAACAGGACTTCACTGTACAGTTTAAAACCACAGCGCTCATCCGTTTTAAACTAACCAGTGTTCCACCACTCATTTCATTAATACAAGGTAATTTGACAGATTTTTCTGTTGTTGCATTCGGTCAATTCAACACCTCAGTTACATCCTCACCTTTAAAGGGGCCTCCTTTAAAATCCAGTGCTACTTTGCCTTCTTGTGTCAAATAGCCAAACCACTCGCCACTTTTAGCATCAGGAAACTGCACAGAGTCAGGAACACATACAGTATATTAGGCCTACAGTGCACTAAAAATATACAGAGAAATGTATTTTGCCAAAAAAAAATCAACATTTAGTAAGCTTCAAAAGGTTCAACATAAAGTATGTGTGAGCTTTGAATGTAATGAGCTGGTTTGTACTGGAATTGTTCCGTGTGATAAGTATGGAACTCAAGTCTGGTTAGCCAAGCTTAACATAAAAAACAAAGCACGGGGAAACAGCTAGCCTGGCTCTATCCGAAGTTCAAAGCACACATACCAAAAACCTAAAGCTTTATTTTTATTTTTTGTATGTTTGTTTTGTCTGTACACAAAGATATATTTCTGTGTTACATGCTGGAACTATTTCTTGAAAACCCAATTTAGGCCTTTTCCACTGCAGGAACATAATAACATAAAACTTAACATGTAGCCATTGTCACAGGGTTTGCTTTTCTTCCCACTGTACTCCACCTGTTTTAGGATTAACCTAAATGAATAATTACAAGATGGTGCCACAGATGGCTGCTTCAGTGTGTTGTGTGTAAATGTTTTTGTTAATAAACTTGTAAATAAAATTCTTATATAATCTTTTTAATTAATGGACTTAGTGACATCCAACATCTGCTTCTGTGAGGACTGCAAGCTCTCCCAGCTGAGTGTGCCTGACTTTCTGTCTGACAGGATGTGAAGCTGGGGATATTTCTGACTACTGGACCATTAGCATCAAATCCTCGCAAAATGCATCCTTTCACCCTCTGCACCTCCAGTCATCAGTCCATCAAGCTCCTGAAGTTTGCAGATGATACCACCCTCACTGGGCTTATCTCTAGTGGGCATGAGTCCACCTGCAGGTGGAAGACTGACACTGATCTGGTGCAGTCAGGTGTTCTAAAGACAATGGAGATGTTTGTGGACTTCCGGAACTTCAGCCCCAACCGCAATAAATCCACCCTCTTGTCAAGGGAAGAAAATCAATAGCTAATTTACAACATGGCCAACAGAAATTCATAAAGCAGACTTTATGTGTGATATACTCAGTTTGTTTAAATTTTAATGGGTTAGGGTTAGGGTCTCAGGTTCAGGACTTTGGTACATGGGGGCACATCCTCTACCAGGTGAGCAACCAGGGTGCCCCTCCTTAGGTACGGGAAGCTCAAAGTTAGGGATAGTTAGCTTCCAGTAGTGGGGAAGCAAACTGTGACAAGACTCAGTGATACTGCACACAGTCACTGCACCTGGATGTTGTTCATCCAGAAAATAAAATTTCCAGCATGTAACTCACTCTGGACTATACTCACTAATTGTTGTTTCTGTGTGTCCTTGGATCAAGCAAACAAGACAATGTGTTAATAAGTGAGCTTTTGAGGTGCAGGTAGGTGTATTTTTGAACTTTGGATAGAGCCAGGCTAGCTGTTTTTAACCACTGCTTTCAGTCATTATGCTAAGCTTGGCTAACAACATCCTGACTCCAACTCTATAGTTATGACGTGGGATTAATATGCATTGGAAAATCTTTAAATAAGGACAATAAGTGTGATTCCAAAAACTATTCCAAAAAACAAATAATGAAAAATGTAAAGCTGTCCTCCTGTGCCTGGTTAGCAGTGCAGTGTAAACTTACATGGCCAAAGATGTATTCATAGACTTGAGAGAATCTTTCCAGAAGCTCTGGTCTCTTTGTTTGACTGTAGGCCATCAGGAAGGCAATTAGAGCCTCACAGTGAGGCCACCACAGCTTCATACTCCACTCCAACTGGTCAGACACATAAGCACGTTGAGACAGCCTGATTTGATGCATTTTAGAAAACGTAGAAATCAACCAAATGAAAACATATCTGCAATTACAAGCAAAATGCAACAGCATTTACTGCCTAAAGTAAAACACCATTGTGTATAGATGAATGATCACCTGCGTGGGGCAGTGACCGTCTACATCCAGGAAGTAGAAGAGGCCACCGTGCTCTTTATCCCAGCCGTACTGATAAGGGAGCTCCACAAACTTGTCAATGGCAGTCCTCTGGAGATCCTCATCCCCCTGTTCTGCACTGAACTGAAGCAGGAACCAGCCTGCTTCCAGGGCATGGCCTGAGTCAGCAAGGATTAGCATATGAGGAAGACCAAAGAAAAATGGAAAATGCTGAGGTAAGCAACAAAGCACAGGAAAAGAGCTCAACCCAAGCTTCCCCATGTACTCACTGTTTGCTATTAGAAAGAGTTGTATCTCAGCAACATTTGCCCCACATAATTAACAGTAATCTTTTTTAAGCTTTTCTATCTGCCTTCAAATTCCACCTCAGCTCTTCTATTACTGCAGCTTTTGATACCATAGATCATGGTATACTCATAGGCCGACTCAAAAACCAATTTGGTGTCTCTAACCTGGCTCTCGTATGATTAAAATGTATCTGAGTAAGTGTGTCTCCTAGAATGATATTACACCATATATATTATAAAATGAAATGGGGAGTACTTCAGGGCTCTGTTCTAGGCCTACTGCTTTTCTCTTTATGCATTTCACCTTTTTGGCCAATTTATACGCATTTATGGAATACATTCCTGTTGCTACACTGATGACACTCAGCTGTATGTGTCTGTAAAGGCAGACATTCATGCTCAAGTTATTCATTTAGAGACCCGTTATTCCCTTTGAAATTCTGGATGTCATGTAATTTCAATTATGTAAAGTTTCATCAAGTAACAGTAACTTCCAACAACTGTGTGATCTCTTCAAAGTTTAACAGCAAAAATCTTTGGGTTACATTTGATCCTCTCTTTTGAGAAACACATTAAAGAAATCACCAAGATCACCTTTTACAACACACGCAACATAGAAAATGTGACCATATTAAAATAATTTAAGGCGAACCTGAGGAAGCTGCAAGCGAAATGCGCTGTTCGCTCTTAAATAAATCACAGTAAAGTCACTCCAGTGTGCTGTGGTTAATTCAAATCTCTTCCTACATGGTCATGCGACCTACCAGCACCTGACTGTTGTTGGCAGTGCATGGGGAGTTTTGTTTAAAATAATTTTAGCTTTACTTCATTGGCTCCATATCTGTGTCGGATCAGACTTTAAAAACTGATGACTTGCAAAATTGTAAATTGGACAGGTAAAAAGGGGAGTGCCCTGAACTTTCTGAATGTTCTATGCTGTGCTAAGCACTCTCTGAGGATACATGGGTTCCTGTCTGTCCCCAGAGTTAAAAAGAAGTCAGCAAGCTGCAGAGCCTTTTCCCATCAAGCCCCTTTCCTCTAGAATAACACCCCTGATGATATCAGACTGTGACTCTTTTGAGATATTTAAAACTAAGCTCTCTCTATTCTCCCACCATATTTCTCCCTTTCTTTCCCTAGTTATTTGCTCCTCCTTATCCTCTCTTGTCACTCAGGGTTCTCTGCCTGGCCATCAGTCGCCTAGGACCTCTGTCTCCTGGCCTCATCCAGACGTTTGGATCTTGATTATCCTTCTCTTGGAGATTCAGCCTTTCCTCTTCTTTTCCTCTCTCCCTAGTTTGCCAGCTATCATGTCTCCCTCTCCATCTCCCTCTGTGTGTTTGTTTGTCCTCCAATCTGCGTGAATGCTGTGCTTGTCTTTTTAGTGTCTCTTATTCAAATTGAGGGTCTATGGATAGGGTGTGTTATGCTGTACAGATTGTAAAGCCCCTTTATGCAAATGTGTGATTTGTGATACTGGGCTGTATGAATAAGACATGACATTATCTGGCTGTCTAGGGAGCAGGCAGTGTGTACCTGGGTTCTGCAGACGGCCCTGGCAACCCGGCAGCTCTGCTCCCTCCAGCGACACATTCTCTAAAATAGCAGTGCCATCTCTCTGTATCAAATGACAAGATTAGAAATACATTAAATTCAGCATATTAAACAACTTGGAACAACTAACAACTAACTGCACAATCTTCCAGTACAGAGTTGGAGTGATACTGTAACTTCTGGCTTCTGTTCCTAAAAAGCACATTGATATTAGTAATAATGCAAACTATTAAAAATGTAGTCCTACAACAACATACTCATCAGTATGTTGTGTGTTTGACTAACCTGGGAGCTCAGTGTGCATTGGTTATTGCAACCAATAAAACTGATGGCCAGAATAACTCAAATAAAATCTAAATTTGTAAGAAAGTGTGTTTTTCTGGGTGACAGAGCCCTTGAATGGACAACTTACATGGTTGCATTTAAGGTGAAATATTAGTTTTGCTGTGTTTCACTGTAGTTGCCTTGCAAAAAAATAAAAGTTTGTAGCTTGCACTCCTAGTTTTTTCACAGCAGAGCTAAATACATCTCCTCCTTACAACTCTGAAGCTCTGGCTGAAGCAGCATATTTAACATTTTATTGCAAAAAATAGTTTGGAACATACTGAAGATGCTCATTAAAGTGGAAAAGTCGACTAGCTGCAGGAATGTACTTTCTGTCAGCGGTTTTCTACATTTTTGTTTTTGCTTTAAATCTGCTGTAATGGCCCGGTCACACCAGTATTTTAACAGTGCAATTACAAAGCAAAATAAATTCCTACAATCAGTGGATCAGCTTGCAGAAACATTAAACAGTAAGCCTGTGCAAATCTTTTGCTTCAAGTTCAAATATACTTTATCTAATGGTGAACTAGTAGTAACTCAGTTAGCTTGTAAATGTATTGTGATCGCTGCAAAAACAGATTCATAATAATAATAATAATAATAATGTATATGTGTATATTTTATGCACCAACTGCACCAGGTCA